CTCGGATCACCGCCCTTCAAGCACTCAGAGCTCTGGGACAGGGCCTCTCACTGTGCCAAGCCCTCCCACCTTGAGCCTTTATACACGCTGTTCCCTCAGCCCAAAATGCTTTTCCTGTCCCACTCCCTATGGGCTGAGCCCATTCCAGGAGCGGTCCTAGCCCCCAGACTGCAATGCTCTCCCTGCCCCCAGCCTTCTGTCTCCAGTACCCTCAGGAGAGAAGGAATAAGCAGCCCCCAGACCTCTCTCTCTGCAATGGGAAAGAAAGGAACAGGCTCTGTGAACGGCCATCCTGGCAGGGGGAGTCAGCAGCCACGGAACAAACTCCAGTTTGAGTCACAAAGAGCCTTTTCATCTATAAAGGTCAGATACAGATGCTGACCTCAGCCTGGAAGTCCAAAAAGAAAGAAGATCCTGGGTCTCCTAGCTCTCGCCAGCTCTGACCTGCTTACAAGGATCTAAACTCTGCCCTCTCTGCCACAGGGCAGCTCTGCCCGGGGAGGGGGGCAGGCATGTTGTTCATTTAAAACATCACTTCGCTAAGTCACCAGCCATAAAGCCCACCTGGGTTTCTAGCAGCTCGTACCAGCCATCTGATTAATGACACCTACATAAAAATCCATCCCTAAGAGCCAAAGGTTGAAATAAAACAGGAGGGCTAATTGCTAATATAGGAATTAATATCAGAGAGCACCGATCTTTAAGGCAGCCATGCACTGAAAGCTGAGGACCCGAGGACCATTTCTACTTCGGGAGGAAGGCCTGAGGGCCGAGGCTGGGCGGTGGCTCTAGAAGATGGGCAGGTGGTCAAGGGGAAACCCAGTCACACCTGCCCCACTCTGGATGGCCACTGAGCTCATGTGTGATTGTCATGTCATAGGAACACCCCAGAACCACAGCACAGCATCATCTTCCCCAAGAAGCTCCCCGATCCACTCTGCTTCCGAAGGCTGGGCAAGGCGGGGCTCTTGGCTCCCATACGGCCTTGTATGCTTCTCACACTGCAGCCCTCTGAAAACCAGTGCCCTCCCCACTAGACTGTGAGCTCCTGAGGATGGGGGCATCTCTTTGGATCCCCAGTGTCTTGCACAATGCCTAGAGCATGATTAGACTCAGAATGTGTTTGCTGGATGGGAAGATGGGTAGATGGAAAGATGGAGAAATGGATAGGTGGGGAGAGAGGGATGGATGGAGAGAAGGATGAATGGATAGATGGAGAGACAGAGAAATAGATGGGTGAAAAGATGCAGATATGAATAGATGGATGGATGGATGAAGGTGAACAAATGGATTGACGGAGAGATGGAGGGATGGAAGGATGAGTAGACAGATGGAAGGATGGGTAGACGAAGATATGGTAGGATGAATGGACAGACTGATGGAGGGATGGAAGGATGAATGGAGAGATGGAAGGATGGATGGAGAGATGAGTGGATGGGTTGATGGACAGGGAGATGGATGGATGGAGAAATGAGAAGGATGAATGGATGGAGAGATGAATGGATCGATTAATGGAGGGAGGGATGAATAGAGAAATGGTGAGATGAAGGGAGAGATGGAAGGACGGAGGGATAGGTGAATGGAGGGGTGCGTAAGAGAGCCTCAGGAGAAGCCCAGGGCCCCTCAGTGCAGGGTTTGGTTGGTGGTCCGTTTCTCCTCTGCTGTCTTGGAGTAGAACAGCGAGAAGGAAGCTGGCCTGGAGTCTGAGGCCCTGACTGTGCTGCAGGTTGTACAGCCCTGGACAAGTCCTGCTCCCTCTTCTCAGTCCACGCAATGGAGGTGATCCTCCCTGACCTGCTAGCTGGGCTGTCTCCCCAAGCTCAGGGAAGACGGCAAGGCAGAAATTACTGGGGAAGGACACGGTGCACTGTCCCTGGCAATATCTGGACAGGCAGATCCGGCCAAAACGCAGAGCGTGGTGCAGAAAAGTGAGGTGGGTGCGTGGCCTTCTTTCCCTCCTCTCAATTTTCTTTTAATACGGTTGTGATGCTATTGATTACAACAGAAGTAGACTTGTGTACGCAGCTCAAAGCACTTCTACTCATAATGGAAGCTTTTACTATGACTCAAAACATGGTTTCTGGGTTTTGAGAACAGAGACCAGACCTGGATCCTGTGGGAACAGGGGAGGCTGAGGCGATGAGTGTAACCACTAGCTTCCCACCGTGTGGTCTCCGCTCACTCGAGCCGGGAGGGTGGCCACTGGGGGCGCTGTGGCTCTGGCTGGAGGTGCCTGCCAGGCGTGCGCATTTACATATTTATTCTTGGGCCTCCCTTGCTTCAGTGAATGCAGGTGGCTGCTAATGATCATCATTAGGCACCCACACACGGGAAGAGCCACAGCGCTGCTGGAGAGCTCACACCTCCCAACCACCGCCAGCCAGACTCACTTGGAAAACCAGTACACACCCCCGAACTCTGAGAGGCCCCACTCATCCAGGGCAGAGACGCGGAGGGACCCAGTATTCCAGCACTGGGGTTCCAGGAGGCTCTGCAGGCCCCAGGAAAGGTGGGGGTGGGGGCTTCAGCAGGGAAGGCGGACTGAGGACACACAGAGCTGGACGGGCACCAAGAGCCTCGCTCAGTGCCCTGGTTTTCTAAATGAGGAAGCAGATGGGGAGTTCGCTGGGTGCATTTATTAAGCACCAACTGTGTGCAAGGCACTGAGCCAGGTGCTGCGGGATCCAGCCTCAGGTCCTCCCCTGAAGCCAGGGAGACAATTCTGTTCATGCTGCATTGTTACCGTCATGGTTCACAGGACCACACCGGCCGAAGAGGAGGGCAGCCGCTGCAGGAAGAGAGGGGTGCCGGCTGCACAGATTCTTCAGGCCAGGCGGGGGACTAGTGGGCAGTAGTGGGAGACACAGCTGGTGGGCTAGCAGGAGCACTGCCTCTATCCCGAGGGCTATGGGAAGCTCTTAGGATACAGCTGAGCAGCTACGGGAAGGGCCTGAGGCGGACACGCTGGTGGGATGAATGAGCCTCCTTCCTGGGTTCTTCATTTCAGAAGCAGAGCTTAGTTCATCAGGAGGCAGCAGCCATGGCTGCCTGGAGCCTCTGGGCTCCCAGGACACGGCAGCCATCCTCTCAAAATGCCTAGGCCGGCCGCCCTTGCCCCACCCCCATCGGTGTAAAACAATTTCTGCGCCCCTGCCAGGGAGGCAGATGACCTCATTGGACTTCTTCCATCTCTCGCTTTCATGGAGAAATTACAATTTATAATTGGATGAAATCACGTGGGTGGCAATAGCAATAAGGGCTTGTGCTGGAGCCGGCTGCCTTCCCCCCTCAACCCCTGGCAAGAGGGGATTCTGTCCTCATCTTCCCTCCTTCGTGAGCCCCACTGCACCCCTTCCAGGGCCTGTGCCCCACCTGGAGTGTGGACCAGGCCCTGGCCATTCAGAACTGACTGACGTCCTCCAGGGTTTGCTGGCTCTGAAACCTCCTTCCTCCTAGGGCAGCTTGTCCCAAGAAACTCCCCCCACCCTGTCCACCCTATCAGACTCAGCCCGAATACCACCTGGCCGGCACACACCCTTCTCGAATGCCTTCCCTGCCAGGCTGTGAGCCCTGTGGGCAGCCACCCCCTATTTGGGTGCTGGCTTATTAAAACGTGAACCCTAATATCCCTGTTATTTTTAAGGGCCTCCAACAACAAGCATTGCTCACATCAACCACCTTAGGCCCTACAAAGAAAAGTGCCCAGATGCAGCTGAGCCCATCTGGATCTGATTTCAAACCAGAGCGAACACTCTCAGATGTGTAATAAAAGCCCTTTTCCAAAGAGGGGCTCCTACAGGGGGATACAGACACCAGGGCACCTCGGCCCTTCCACAGGCCTTGCTAATGAGAGGTGCTGCGGAGGCTGGGGTTTTGTTTTGGATTCTGGAACAGCCTGCCCTGCCTCCCCGCCCCCCACCCCCACCCCCCCAACCCCCCCACCCCACCCCCCACTGTCTGTGCGGAAGGGGAGGGTGGCTGCTGGTGTGGAGGACTGACCCCCTGCCTAGGAAGGGGGTGGTGCCAGACAGAGGCCAGGAACACAAAGACCCAACTTCCCCAGTTCCCGATGGTCCTGCTTCCCACGGTGGGGAAAGGCAGTGCTTGTTCTGGATGCCCAGGCCTTGGTGCCCCAGTCGGAGCTTTTGAATGACATTTAGCAAGAAGAACAGGTGCTGCGGGAACTGGAGCCAGCTCTGGACTGGCCTGGGCTGGGCAGGCGGCCCTGCACGGCCCGGAGTTCAAAAGACTTCATTTTGCTCTTCCCAGTCCTTGCACCCCCAGGGAGGGAAAGCCAGGTAGATGCAAGGCTCAGCGCTTGGCATGATCCACGGTTTATTGTCTGGATTGGGAAAGAGGCAGGAGAAGGGGAGAATAACCCCAGCCCCTTCCCTGGCTCATGGGTGAGTGGCATTAAAAAAAACAAACAGGATCCAGGCCAGGCGCAGTGGCTCACACCTGTAATCCCAGCACTTTGGGAGGCCAAAGCAGGCAGATCACAAGGTCAGGAGTTAGAGACCAGGCTGGCCAGCAGGGTGAAACCCCGTCTCTACTAAAGATATGGGTGGCGGTGGGGGGGGAAGGTGGCACACGCCTGTAATCCTAGCACTTTGGGAGGCCGAGGCGGTTGGATCACAAGGTCAAGAGATTGAGACAATCCTGGCCAACTTGGTGAAACTGCTTCTCTACTAAAATACAATAAAATTAGCCAGGCATGGTGGCACACGCCTGTAGTCCCAGATACTTGGGAGGCTGAGGCAGGGGAATCGCTTGAACCCGGGAGGTGGAGGTTCCAGTGAGCCGAGATCATGCCACTGCACTCCAGCCTGGGTGACAGAGCAACACTCTGTCTCAAAAAAACAAAAAACAAAAACAGGATCCAAAGCCAAGGGGGCTGTGGCCCAGTGGCCCTCATGGATGTGGCCTCATGAGAGGCCTCAGCACTTCCCAGTGCTGCCCCTCACGCCCCTGGGCTTAATCACTGGTATTGTTTTTGGCAGGTGAGGAAGCAGGCGATGAGAGGATGATTCCTTCTTGGACAGCCAAGACCAAGGGATGAAGCGGGAATAACCCATCCTCCCCCCTTCCCAGCGAGGAAACCTCTGCAAACAGGAGCAGCCAAGCAGGACCGAGGCCCTCGCCCCCCAAGCATCTTCCCAGAGAAGGGCATGTGGGGGCTGACAGCTGAGCCACACGTGTCAGCAGCTGCAGCCCCGCCGTGAACATCTGAACTCCTCAGCGGGGTCATGGACCCCCCCTTCCCGCTGGAGACACAGCCTGAGTGGCAGGAATACGGAGCCGTTGGAGAGCGGCTCCCTCTAAGCTGTGTCACGCAAGAACGCTCTCTGCACCGAGCCCATTCTGCCAAGTGACTTAAAGGGATTAAAAAAAAAAAAGCCCTGGTAAACAAAAAGGGGGTAAGAGCCACGCAGAGGCCTTTCAGAAGAGGTGGCAGCCTGCAGACAAAGGGCAGGAGTTGAAACGGGCCGTGGAAGTAGCGAGCAGCAGAGGCCACCCTCCCCGGGGCTGGGCACCAGGCCTCAGGGCATGCCCGAGGAGCAGGGGCCCGATACCCCTCAGGCCACCGTTGGGAGTCCTGGGGCCGAGAGGGGTGTCCCTGTACCTCCTGTGCGCAGGACCCTCACTCCGCAGGGAGAAGCCAGCTGTGCCCGAGGCCTCTAGGGTGCCAAGGATGCTGCTGATTGGGGCCCGCAGCCTCATCTGAACGCCAGGAGACCGAGGCACCCAGGAGACCGAGGCACCGGATCCCCTCTCTGTTCCCCAGGGCGCCCCAGGTCTGAGGTCTGCGCCCCTAGTGGTGCGAAGCCTGCTAGGACCACGGGGCTGGGAATGTGAGAGCCGTCAGGGCTCCAAGACTTTGGTGGGGACCTCCGGACCAGCCACCCCAGTTGGACTCAGAGGGCTCCTGGGCTGCATCGGCGAAGGAGGTAAGGCCCCGGCCAAGGGAAGAGGGACGTGGATTCGGGACGCAGATTCAGAAGGGCTCCAGGGTGGCCCAGGGTTCCTCGCACCCAACAAGGGCATAGCGCACAAAACCAGTGGGTCCCAGCTGGAGCTCCATGGGTCTGCAGCTCCATCCCCCCACCCACTCACACAGTCCACGCAGCTGGTGGCTTCTGCTTGCCAGCGTGGATCACTGGCCACCTGGTGGTTCCCGTGCTGCTTGCTGGGCTCTACCCACGGCTGGACCTGGGGTGTAAGGGGCTGGCCTCCTCTGGAGTCCATGGCCCTGCAGCAGGGTGGGTGAATCTCATTTTGAGCCTCCTTCCTGAAGGTGGTAGCAGTGAGGCCTGGTGAGGGGTGGGCAGGAGCTCTGGTAACCTAGGCTACCTGCCCTGGCATCTGCTGCCCATGAACGGGAGGGAGCCCATAGGTTTCCATCAGGGCCTGCACCTGCCCTGGCCAGGGACCAGGGATGGGGCTGATCCAAAGCTATCGTCCCAGGTCCTGCTCCCGTTGGCCCTGGGGCATCATCTGCACCTGCTTCCAGTTCAGCCTCTTTGTTGGTTAGAGGAACAAGCTGAGGCCCAGAGAAGGGTAGCGAGTGCCCCAAGGGTCACACAGCCACCGGGAAGGGCTCCCTCACACCACCGAGGCAGGGAGAGCAGGGGGTGAGGCTGCGCCTCCGGAAACACAAATCCCAGGCAACCTGAAGCCGCAGTGCCTTGGGCAGGACAGGGAAGCCCCAATTCATTACCAAGATGGAAAACGACACTTCCCCATGCTCTCTCTTAGGAGAGGGGTTGATTTATGATTGCGCCAGGGTCCGGGACATTTGTCAGGGCGGCTGGGCTTGCACGCCGCCTGCGGGGGCATTAATAGCCATGTTATTAGCCACTGGTGTGAATGATGCCCTGCGGATGGGCTATTTGCTGTTATTTATTATAAAAGCGCGCCAGCCCAGCAGTGGGGCGGTGAGTGCGCTGGAGCCTGGGCTGGACCCCTGCCCTACAGCCCTTCCGCTCCTCTCTGCTCCTCTCCCTGAACCCAGCCCTGGACGCTTACTGCCCCATCCAGTCCCTAGGAGAGTCTGAGGGTCATTTCTAGTCTGAAGCCAAGCTGGAGGGGAACAGCTGCTGTCCCCCAGGCCTGCTACCCCTCGGGTTTATGGAAGACCTGCCCAGTGGTCCTGTGCAAAAGGAAGCAGGAACACACAGCTCTGGGCAGGCAGGCCTAGACTGGGGCCTGGCCCAATGGTTGTGAGCTGCGACCTCGAACAGGTCTGCCCTTTCCTGTGTGCCACCCCTTTGTGCATCGGGGATGCAGCCTCCCCTGTGCACAGGGCCATGGCCAGGTGGAGAGAGCATTCTGTAGCAGGCCCAGCACTCAGCGGGCACGAAGCCCTGCTAGCTACTGCTAACGCTAACAGGCATGACCCCACAGGCGTGAGAGACCACGGACCCACGAGGTGGGGAAAATCAGTCCCCATGAAACTCCGCCGGAGTTGGAACACTGTATCCCAGCATCCTCCCTGTGCCAAAGCCCTGGGAAAGGGTTAGAGTTGGGCACCAAGGCCGTACGAGGTGGGTGGGAGGCTGCCCAAAGCTGCTGGAGGCTTGCTCTCCATCCTGAGCCTGTCCCATCCGTTTGGGGCCTTAGGTTTTCCTCCTCTGCATAAAGCAGACAATCGCTGGCATCCTTTATCTCACGATTCCAGGGTCCTGAGGGGTGGTTCCATCTGTATGTGTATCTGTGGGGTGGGGTGGAGGGGAAAAGGCCATCTGTAGGAAAAGGAGGCCCACCTCTGATACTTGGAGACAGACACGCAGTTGGGCGGTGCCAGGCCAGCATCCGTATCAGCGGGGTTGAACAGGGATGGCCAGGAGTCTCCCTTTGGGGCCAGAGAAGCCCCGATGGACAGCTAAGAGGGGTAGGAGGAGACCTGGGATGGGAGGAGCACCCCACGTCCAGTCTGGTCCTGGATTTGCAGCCACCCTCTGCTATCTGCTGCACAGGCCAGACACTTCCCTTTGCCTCTTTGGGCTGCTGTGCTGCTGAGGGCACCCTGGGTCACCATGACGTCCTGGGGTGGGCTATAGGAAGGCCAGGCTCCCTCTTCTCCCCACTGCCCAGCCCTGGGTCTAGGTTCGGGGCCTCCCTTTTGGTGGCCCTGTTCCTTGACGAATCAGATGTTTATGGAGCACCTTCTGTGCCAGGCTCCGTGCCAGGTACAAGACAGGCCACGTCCCAACCGTCGGAGTTTACGTTCTAGGGGGAGGAGGCAATCCGTAAACTGATGATAAATAAATGGGGGTGTCCCACTGGGAGCAGGGCCTGCCTCCCCGCTTGTCAGGGTTTTTCTCAGCCCATGAGAGGCCCCACCCTCTGAGCCCACTGCCGAGCCTTGATCTAGGACCAGTGGGCGTCGCCCATCATCAGCCTTTCCTGGTCACACCGCTGTGGCCCAGGATCCTAACGGAGACCGAGGAGTGCAGCAACGCAGGCCCACAGCCCTGTTCTTGGGGACCGTCTCCAGCGCTGCTGCTGCTGCTGCTGCCTCTCTTCCTTTTCCCTGCCCCCCAAAATAAAGACCTTTAGCCCCTTTCCTTCCCTCTGAAACTCCATTGGGCTTTCTTTTCTTTTCTTTTGAGATAGGGTCTCACTCGGTCACCCAGGCTGGAGTGCAGTGGCACAATCTGGGCTCACAGCAACCTCTGCCTCCCGTGTTCAAGTGATTCTCCTGCCTCAGCCTCCCAAGTAGCTGGGATTATAGGCATGCACCACCACGCCTGGCTAATTTTTGTATTTTCAGTAGAGACGAGGTTTTGCCATGTTGACCGGGCTGGTCTCAAACTCCTGACCTCAGGTGATCCACCTGCCTCGGCCTCTGAAAGTACTGGGGTTCAGGGATGAGCCACCGCACCCAGCCCACTGGGCTTTCTTTTTCCCTTCCCAAAAGGAATTAAGTCTCAGTTTAGGCAGCTTTACTAAAAATGGACACAGACAGACAGAAATATCAGGTGTGGGAGCATCTTATTAAATAATGCCGAGAGAGAAGGGAACAAAGTCACATGTGACTACTTTCATCCCCCACCCCCTCCTGGCCTTGAATGGTTTAATATCGAATACTGTTATCAATATAATTAACCTCCTAAGACATGATTCTAAAGTCTTGTTTTTTAAAGCGATTTACATTCTCTGAAGTTCAGGACATCCCGCCACATGGCACCAGCACCGCCCAGACGGCCTGTGCGGTTAGGTGCGTTTATAGCAGATTTGCATACCTGTCTGCAATTACCGCCAGTGATAACAGCTGATGCATAATGCATGCAGCCTGAAATTAGAAAAATAATTAACTTTAGGTTTTAAAAGAATCCCCGCCCCAGCCCCCATGCATCACAAGCGCTAAATGATACCAGCGGACGGGATCCAGCAGCAAGTTGTTCAGGGTGATGGGTATGGCTAGCTGGCACCATGCCCTGCTGGGAGCTGGGGTCAGAAGGTCCTCGAGGGCCGTGACATCTAGCCCCTGCCCTAAAAAGATGCCTCTGGTAGACCTGCAGCCCTTGGGACATCTGCCTGAACTAGGGCTTGGAAAAGCCCCACTCACACTCAAGGCCCCCTTCCTTCCTGCAGTTCACGTCTGGGGCTCATTGCTAGGAACAGTAATGGTTCCCTCATTCTGAACCCCACGCTGCTAAACACTGAAAGGAACCTTATTTTATCTCCACAAGAGCCCAGGGAACTAGATCGTTTATGGTCGCATTTTGCAGATAAAGACATGAGACCCAAAGCCACCCCACAGTAGGCTGAGCAGCAGGACTGAGCCAGGGAGGTCACTGCGATACTTCCCTTCACAGGAGAGGGGCTTCCTAGGGAGAAGGGGGTAGCTCTCCCTGGGTCTCCCTGAGCACCAGCAGGCAGTGGCCTGCCTTGTCCACCTCCTGGCCTTCCTCCCTCTGTCTTGCTTGCAGCTGAGCCCCCAGGAAGGTGGGGTCTCTCATTAATTTAAACGAAGGTTTGCTGAAGCCCCATCACAGAGCTGGAGACGACTGTACTTAGTGGGGCTTCCCATCTAGCAGGGGGTGGGGCTGAGGTCCCACTGGCCTTTCCTACACTGGGGCTGAGAAACTGCTCTGCCCACAGTCTGTCCTGCACAGCACTCTCAGTGAGGACCTGAAGGACTGGCAAGGTTTAGGGGAGACGTGTGAATTACTGCAGAAGGGAGGGACTGGCAGGGAAAAAGACACCTGCAAGAGACCCCACCTGGGGGCTGGGAAGTGGGGGAAAAGCCAGAGGACCCAGGACCCGTGGCAGCCACATACAGTGCCAGGCCACCTGGGGAGCCAGAGTCCTAAGGACAGCAGTGGACAGGTGGGCAGGAAGGAGGCTGAGGGGTGAGTGGGGTCAGGGAGACAGGACCAGCGAACACCCGCCTGAGCATGTGCTTGTCCTTCCTACAGATAGAGTTTAGATGCTGGGCCCTTCCCCACCCTGCCTGAGATGCCCTCACCCCAGGGATGGGGCAGGAGAGAGGAGATCAGGGAGCAAGGCTAGGCTGCGATGAGGGCTGTTTCCTTACTGGCTTCTGGAAGCTCCTGGGAGATGCCCATGAACAGAAAATAGCATCACCAAGTTCCATGAGGGCCTGGAGGCAGCGGCAGGGTCCCCAGCAAAGGCCAGGCAGCAGATGCTGGGCCCTAAGCCACCATGAGCGGTGGGGAAGAAGCTCGGTGTCACTAGCTTGTAAAGGCTTTGCAGTTGGGTGCAGACACCCCCACTCAGCTTCCCTACTGCTCCCCCAGATCGGGGCACCCGGGAGGCTGCCAGCCTCTCCCCACGAGGGGCACTGGGTCTAATGTACTGTGAGGGAAGCTTCTGGGGAGGGCTGCGGGGGGGTGGGGAAGGGAGGGACGGAAGCCTCAGGACTTCTCAGGGGTGGGAGTGAGTATGGCATGGAGGAGCTAAGGAACTATTTCTGGCTGCT